TCACGATAAATACCAAAGACGGGTAAATTCCAGTAGTTGAGTTACAACTGTGGGGTGTCCCTTACTGGAAATTCTTTGTATTTTACAATTTGTATACGCGTATTTGGTTGTCTTTGAAATCTAAAATTCAAACCGTTCCGTATATGTGCCGAGCAACTGTGCGTAATAGTATTCTTTTGGCGATAACCTCTGTTAAGTATTTCTTCTTCTCATTATATTCGTATAGTTCATTATTTTTGTATGTTGGTTCTATCGTTTATATCCTGAGCTATTGAGTTGTACACATTTAAAATTTCATACTATTATTATTATATCATTTTACCAAAGTTAATGTATGTATGTTCCTATTATAATTCAATATATATAATTCTCTGTTTCTAAATTCAACCCATTTACTTTCTTTTATATTACCTAGTATTTATCTTCCCTGATTTCCACACAAGGCGATCTGGTGAAAGGGCCCGTATGGGACTAAAGTATCGACGAACCCAAAACAAAAATAAAAACCTTAATTGATTGTGTTCTAGATTTTATCGTTCACAGTTAGTTGAGGATATTTGTTCGTTGCTGTTCCGGGTAAATTCTAACAAAATTTACATTAGCGAGTCGCACGCGTGTTCGCTTTGTAACTAAACAGACGCGTCACGTTACCAAATTCACATCATTTCGATTCCTACGTTTTTGTATTGTATTATTCTACCAAAGGCATAGTAGTCGTAATTGTTGTGTGGTAACAATAAAGGCGCACATCGCATGCGTGTGTTGATTCATGGGACGCGAGAGCGCCAGGCGTGCGGAACATTTTTTTGTTCATTTGTGTGTTACTTCGTTATACCTGGCGGAGTCGGCAAAATTTAGGTTTTCTCTGCAATAAATGACAGTAGAACGATGATTTTTTTTTTAATTTGGGGTAGCTCGACGAGGTATTAACAATAGCGTGGCCAATTTTTAAAAAAAGTTAATGTAAACCGAAAATGTTTACTTCTTTGATTTTTTATATTTTAAATTGATTCGATTTGTTTATTAAGCATAGGTGGTGTTTAAATGCTAAATATACACAAAATTACAGATGTAAGCTGTATAAAACAAATTTTGTTCTTTCAATTTAGAAAATGTGCAACTTTCAAATTTATCTCAGTTTTATAGCGAATTTTTCTCATCAATATTACTTATATTATTCAAAATAGCATACATGAATAAGCGATTAATTGAGTAATTGTAACAAAGTCAGCAATAACTTGAGTAAACATAAATCTAATTTTAGACGGAGGGTAATAAAAGAGGTTCAGATAGTGAACAATTATAATTTCTTTTACAACAATATACAATAGCAAATTCTTTATTCTTACAATTTCTTTAATATGCCAATATTACGCGACATTCATAATAGAGTTAACATAGAGTGGAGTACTTTGTTTTAAAATGTGTAGAAACATAGCAGCTATCGAGTGGTCTGTACAGCAATTCGATACAATCGAAATTGAAGAAGATATTCAAATGATTTACGAGAAAAAAAGATATCGATACTTTGGAGTCATATTTGGGTGGTTTAATTTAAAACATTCACTTCGTCTGAAAGTGCACATGAGTACAACTCTCCAGCTGTAAAAAATACACCCTCTGGTTGCTGTCCGACTTGCCAAAGATGTAGACATTAACTTTTCCGACGACGCTTTTCGGATACATAAATGACTTTTTGTAAAAACGAATGAATATTTAATGCTGAAATTTGGCACACTTCTTAACCGTAATGAAGACCATATTCGCTTAAAATTTCAAATCTCTATGGTCAAATCCCTTCGAGTATTAAACAACTGAAGAAACAGCCTATTCGACAGTTAGGATTCTTTTCCAACTTAACGCGTGGATCGATTTTAACGTACTGTATCTCACTTTGTAGGTATTTCTAATATCTAATTTTTCTATTTGACCTCTTTTTCTCTAAAATCTTTACATTTCCTTCCGCAAGCAAAAAACATGTTTCTCAATTCTTTTTGAATTCTTTTAACAATATTCCCCAACTTTTCATGAGTTTCAAATGTATACATTTCATTTCTAATGACTTTCCGAACAGTTTCATGTAAAAACATAGCTACTTAAAGTTATTTTTTAAAATGGGGGTTTTGAAGTCTAATCCGACTGGACTATAAAGGGCTGTATCTTTATTAAACAACATCATTCTGCAATGAGGTTTACTTCATTTTAAAGACAAACGATCATACTTTCCAGCGGTATATATCAAAATTTCAAATAAATATTGTTTGTACTCCGTAGCACTTGACGAACATCAAGGAAAAGTACAGTTTGGCACACTTCTATTTAAAGGTCAATTTTACCCTCTATAGAACCATTTTGATAAAATTCATTTGAAGAACCAAAAAGAAGAATGTTCAAATTTCAAAATGTTTTTTGTTTCATCAACTTTGGATGAATAGTAACAAAGTTATGAGAGTTTGAAGATTGAGTAAATTTTAGAATAGTTTTGGCTAGCTTTTCGGATCAAATACCCCACTGTGCGACGTGACGAAACGAGAACACCCGCCCGCATTATCCGGTTAAGAGGGTAATTGCGGGAACCGTTTTAGCCGATCAAGAAGGAGTCGGTTACGCGAGCCAGGAACTTTTTATCCCTTCTGGTAAAAAGGACCGAGAGATGGTGGTAAGAACGTTCACAATGGCGTAAAACGGATATACACTCGTGACAACGGTTATCGTAGTGGGTAACGTGGTCGAAAAGCGAAACATGCAGATCTCGATTGAAACCGCAATGAACTGCTGTCTAATGCAAAAATAAGAATTTTGATCGTACTTATGGTAAAGTTAATGCATCAGGAATGTCTGGAAGTCTAGTTACATTATTTACACTTTTGAGTAGATTATTGATTTTAAGTGTAAATATTTTATTTATTTCTGCTTTCTGAAAACCTTCAATTAAATTTTTTCTTTCATTCGTAGATCTTAAATGTTGGCTAAGATGTCCAGAGTATAATTACAACCTGAATCTGGATTTTATGCATTTACCGTAAATGGGAATAAGTAAAATACAACACGGTAAAAATATTGAGAAAGGTCAGTGCAAATTTTACTTTACCTTAGACGTAATAAAATCTTTTACAAAGGAAACAAATCTCTAACATAATTTCAATTCAGTGAATTCATATATTAAAAATCTGAATTTGCATAAATATCCACAGTCTAGTTATGAGTTTCGGAAGGGCATTAATATAATTCATTATTATTGAAATATTCACGTCTGTGGATAACGTTCATTAAATTTAAATGAAGATACGAATTATTTCTGTTTTTTCTTTTTATAAATGGATTTCTTTCATTTACACTGATTACATTTATCGTAGCGTATGTTACCTAAAATGTGATTGTCTTATTTAATAATAAAGCTACTAGATCGTATTATAGGCTCTGTGCACAAGCACTTAGTTTGTACTACTAAAATATTATAATTTCACTTTTAAGCAAGATGACAATTCTGATGGTAACTATAATATTTGAAACTTTGTAATTATTCAATACAAAGTTAAGAATGACAACGAAAGTACATTTTTCTTTTGTAATGTAACCTATACTTCATTAATCTTTGTTAATAACATTAGTTACTTCTCTTAAAATATGTACCTACTTTACGCTATTATGAATCCTTTTATAACCGAAATTTAAAAGATAGAAGAACAAAAAAAGAAACTAATGAAAGTCTTCCTAAATCCACTGAACGGAACAAAAAAAACCGTTATTAATTCAACGAACCTTCCCTAAATTCAATACATAAGTACATAGGTAACCACAAAATACAGTGTATACCCAGATACCTACATCAGAGGAGAATCCTGCGGTTAATTTCCTCTGAAAATAGGGATGGTACTGACACACAGGTATCCATTCTCACCATCAACCATCCATCACGATGATGGACACTGGTATCTTCCACCTTGACAACCCCATCCCTCGCAGCCAGCCAAATCGAGCGTTCGAAGCAGAAACAATGTAGTTGTTAAAATACTTTGCCTAGAAAACGATTACAGTGTTCGAATCCTTCCAAACCAGGTCAATCAGCGAATCATATACCACGTACGAAGAACTTATTGGGTAACTCTCACGTTCGGAGGAAACGTCCGGAAAGTCCCGGTGATTCTGGCAGCTCCGAAATAAATGGAGTCCATCGATCGGCTCCGTTTATTCGAAAGGACGAAGTCAAAATTAGGGTAAACGCATTATTCTTAGATGGTGGGCGGCGTGGCACGGGCGGGTTGACTATTTTTACGCTGGAATTACGTCCAAGGAAGCCTGACTCTGACGGGTCTGGCCGAATTCTACGGGGCCGTGTCAGGAGTTGTTCTTTCGGGGGAAAACGAATTTCTGCCGCGGACGGAAAGCATTCGAACGATCCCTGATTCCTTTCGGAGAAATATCGGAAGCTGAGAAATTTATTGCAGTCATTTGAAAACTGCCTTCTCCCCGATCGATCAATCAGGACCGAATCACTTTGCGCGCGTCAGTTGCCACCGGAGGCTATGCTTAACCGCGACGTTCAATTTGCTTTGCGGCTAGACCATTTCCTGCTTTATGGGCCCCGCACATACCGACAATGCGTCGCTCCCGTTCCCTCGTTTCCCGAGATTAACAATCGAATATCCCCCTGGTTGCTCGATTTCTTTGGCCTAAGTCTGAATGATCATATGGATTCAGGAACTAGAACGAGCTTCATTCAACGTACATACATAGAACAAGGATCTTTGGGTGGATTTATAAGGGTACTGTTTCACTAATAATGTTGCATTAACCTAGATAACTCGGTATAAAACCTGAACAACAATTTTTTTTTTTTTTTTTTTTTTTTTTCCCTCGAGTCTTTGCAATTTGTCCAGGTGTGAACATTCGGCAAGTTGGTTTAGTGGTTTTGTGATGGTAGCAGCACGTAGACATTTATCCCATTGGAGAAACGTCGGTGACAATTGCTTTTTGTAGCTGTGAAGTTTTCTCTTCATTCAGAGTAGCAGATCCATCGGGTGTTTTCTCCGTAATAGTCTTCTAGGTTGATCCGTTGAGTAGAGTTCCTTGGCTGTACTATTGGGATGTTGCTCCAGTCTGGTTTTGTAGTTTCTGCACAGTCTCGTTATTTCATCAGAGACCGGTGTTATATTTAAGTCTTTACGAATTTCGTCATTACGGACGTACCATGGAGCATTAACAATTGTTCTGAGAACTATGGATTGTAATGATTCAATCTTCGCAATATGGCTTTTGGCAGCCATGCCCCAAAGTTGAATTCCATATTTCCAGATAGATTTTATGATTGTTTTATATATTAGTAGTTTATTTTCAGGTGATAACTTAGAATGTCTGTTGGTGAGCCATTGCATTTCCCTCCTTTTAATTCTGATTTGTTCTATTTTTTTCTTTATGTGTTGTTTCCAGGTGAGTTTGGAGTCTAGATGTAATCCTAAGTATTCGACTGCTTTAGTCTGTGGTATAATGTATTGATTTAGTATGATAGGTGGTGTAATGCCTTTTCTTAATGTGAAGGTGATATGATTGCATTTTTCGGTATTGACAGTTATTTTCCAGTGATTTAGCCACCGTTCGAGTGTTTGTATGTGCTTTTGCAACGTTTTGGAAGCTATTCTAGGGTCATCGTGTGTAGTTAATATGGCTGTGTCGTCAGCAAATGTGAGTAATGTGGTATCTGTTGTAGTGGGGATATCAGCTGTATAAAGGGTGTAAAGTGTGGGCCCCATTACACTGCCCTGAGGAACGCCACCCTTGATTTTGTAGATATCAGAGGTGCTATCCTGAATTTTGACATAGTATGTTCTGTCCTCTAGATTTATTAATGATTTTATTAATTGGTATAAGGCAGTGGGAAATTTTAGTTTTATCTTATATAATAAACCTTCAACAACGTTTTGGAAGCTATTCTAGGGTCATCGTGTGTAGTTAATATGGCTGTGTCGTCAGCAAATGTGAGTAATGTGGTATCTGTTGTAGTGGGGATATCAGCTGTATAAAGGGTGTAAAGTGTGGGCCCCATTACACTGCCCTGAGGAACGCCACCCTTGATTTTGTAGATATCAGAGGTGCTATCCTGAATTTTGACATAGTATGTTCTGTCCTCTAGATTTATTAATGATTTTATTAATTGGTATAAGGCAGTGGGAAATTTTAGTTTTATCTTATATAATAAACCTTCATGCCAAACTTTATCAAAAGCTTTCTCTATATCAAGAAATATGGCGGTGCAGTATTGTTTTTGTTCTAGGGCTTCAGTAATCATGTTTGTGAGTCGGTGTACTTGTTCGATCGTAGCGTGTTTTTTTTGAAAGCCAAACTGGTGTGTTGGGATTAAGCTTTTTTGTGTGATGATTTCCTGCATCCTATTTAGTATTATTCTCTCCAGTATTTTAGACATTATTGGGAGTAGTGAAATTGGTCTGTACGATGTAGCTAGGTGGACGTCTTTCTTGGGTTTTTGTATTATGCTTATTTGTGCTAGTTTCCAATTAATAGGGAAATGTTTGATTCTGAGTATCGCGTTGTATATGATTGTTAACATCCTGACGGCTTTTGGTGGAAGCTCCTTTATAATTTTTCCGTTGATTAAGTCGAAACCTGGGGTCTTTCTAATTTTAATATTTTCGATGATTTTATTGACTTCTTTTACTGTGGTCCTTTTAATGTCTTGTGGGTCTTCAGACGTTGTTTCAGTGTGTAGTGTGTT